TTTGTAAAAACTTCAATTGAATTTCAATAAAGTTAAAGGCATGGCCTCACCGTTAATATTTAAAAAAAAAAAAATATATACGAACATAGAAAATTCATTTATTACAAAAATTTGTTATAATTGAACATACTTTTTAAAATAAATAATGTTGGCTGTTGTTATTAAATAGATACTGTATCTTTAATATATAATATTAGGTACAAGTTATTTTAAAGACTAGTGGTATTATATTTGCAATACCAAACAAAATAGTTAACTAATTTTATATCATTATTTAAAGAAATAAAATTTTATCAAAAAAGACAATTAATGAAAAAATAACCAAGCATTTAAAGCATGAAAAAAATCTGATAATGAGACTTTACAACAACTTTATTGGCTTCATCCTGAACTTAATGATCAAAGTGTATAGTTCTTTTCAACACTTACAAAATTTGCTGAAGGTCATATTTTATATGAAAAATCTGAAAAACATGCATATGTATATAACATGATTACACAAAAACAATATTCTTCTTTTTTAGCTTGGATAAAAGCACTTTATAGTAAACATTTTTTTAAGGGTAAAAAATCAGCATTAGCCATTATATTTTTGAAGTCTAATTGTAGTAAAGCAAATATTGAGCAGAGTATAAAAGAAGAAAATTATATTTCTTATTTTAAAAGCACTGAAATAATCACTTTACTCTATATTAAGAATATTTTAACAATAATGATATATAATAATATGGAATTAATAAATATGACTTTAATGAAAAGTAAAGGTTTTTTGTATTTTGTTCTTTTTGACAGAAATATAAAAAAAGAACTTTATATTAAAAAAACCTTTTATAAATATCAAGAACCTCTTAAGTGCTTTATTTTTGTAAATGGATTAGAAGTAAAAAATAATTTTTTAAAAGAAAATAAAATCAACTATAAAATTTCAACAATTGATGATGCTCTTTCAATTGTGCAATTTTTTAAAAAATTATATATTTGTTTAGGATAGTTTACTAAAGATAAGCATGTTAATATATTTTTATTTTAAATTATGATATATTTTAATAATCTTATTGCAATATTATCTAGAATTTGAACAAGTTATTTATCTATAAGGTGATTATCTGTATTCAAATTTTCTTGGACAAAAAAATTATCATAAGATTATTGTGAATTTAAAAAACAAGAGGTCTGATCATAAAGCTTACTATAAAATTAATTGTTCTCTTCTTGTGTTAAATGATAACATATGTACAAATTGTAAGACATTGCAAAATACATTGTATCAAATTGAAAATCAGTATATAAATGGCATTTAATCTGTTAAAACATCACATGCATCTAGAGAATGTCTGGTTGAAATAGTTCATAAAGCATGAAATATAATTAATTTTAATTTAATAAACTATATTTAATAAATAAATATTGTTTATCTAAAATATTTTTTATTTTTTTATTTTAAACAATTTGGTCACAAAAAAAGTTAATTGATAATCTTCATAATCATCTAAAATTAAAATTTGAAACAGAAGAAGAACATGCATCAGAACCATTAACTGATATTGCTCATGAAGTTGTTGATGAAGTATTAAGCAAAAAACATAAAAATATATCAAATATGATTTTAAAAGAACTGGTCTGTGTACAAAGTGAAAAACCCAAAAGAGTACAATATTATCCTATGTAAGTAAAAAAAAAAAATTTACAATAAAAGATTTAACTAATTATGTTATTGCAGATTTATTTGGTAGGCAATTTCAATTTATCCCTTAAACTGTAGACCATTTCCAGGCAAATTTGCCTGAAAAATTAACAAAAATATACTTATAATCTATATTTTTTAAATTTTAAAATATTTAAATGAAATTTTGTTTGATAATA